CCTGAAGGAAACAGCACATAAAAGTTTTCTGGGCAAATTTCCAGCATCGTAGCACATGAGGATTGCCATGTCTAGTAAAGAGTTTCAGGAAGAAAGAATGCAAGAGACTTGTGGAATTTTTTTCTGTTGAGGTTCTAAACATTCATAAAAAGCTTGCCTCTGTATTTCCCTTAATTAAGAGCATGGGACTTCACAGTTTGCTCTGGCTTCTTAACTCTTCTTTTCAAATGAAACAAAATTCTGTGTGTAGAGAATATGTATGTGTGTATCTGCGTATATATACACATATGTATTTATATATAATATATACAACACATGTACATATATATATCGAATCCATTTCTATTTGCAAAATCAAATAAGCAATGCATTCACATTTCTAAAGGTACAGCATGACGTATGGTGGGGGATCTCGCTCCGACGCCCATCCTCTCTGCAAGAAACCCTCTTTCCAGAAGCAACCACTTCTACCAGTTTCTTTTGCAGCTTCCAGAGATAATCAATTTATATTTATATATCTATTTACAACTATGTAAATATTCATTTAAAAACACAAATACTATATACACTGTCCTATGCCAGGCTTTTAAAAAAATTTATAATATGTCTGGGAGATTGTACCACATCAGCACATATAAAGCTGCTTCATTCATTTTAATGACTGCATAGTATCAGCGCTGCATTATGGAGTATAGTGTTTAATATTACATTCCACCATATGAAATATTAAAATTATGCTAATATTTCTTTATTGATTTAATTTTAGTTTTATTTACATTTATTAATAACGTATTAATATATAACCAGACCTCCACTGATATTTAACTTGCTATCTTTTGCTCTTTCAAACCATGTTAAAAAATATGTCATTTGCACACTAATGAGTTTATCTGTAGAATGAGAAAGATTTCTAGGTTGAATGAAGTATGTACATTTGTAATTTTGATTGATATTGCTAACATGTTCTTTATTTACATCACTGTGTCCTCAGCATTATAATGTGTTCATCAAACTTTTTTTTTTTAAAGATTTTATTTATTTATTTGAGAGAATGAGAGAGAGAGAGAGAGCATATGAAGAGGAGGGAGGGTCAGAGGGAGAAGCAGACTCCCTGCTGAGCAGGGAGCCCGATGCGGGACTCGATCCCGGGACTCCAGGATCATGACCTGAGCCGAAGGCAGTCACTTAACCAACTGAGGCACCCAGGCGCCCGTTCATCAAACTTTTTGATACTTACTAGTCTAATGGGTGAAGAATATTATCCCATGTAGCTGTGATTTGCATTGCTCTAATGTGAGTGAGGTTGATCATTTTTTTCAGAAGCTTAAGAGCCATTTGTATTTCCTTTTCTGTGAGCCATCTGTTCTTTTTTCTTCCTTCCTTCCCTTCCTCCCCTTCCTCCATTTCCTCCCTCCTTCCTTTCTCTCCCACCTTCCTTCCTTCCTTCTGTCCTTTTTTTTTTTTTCTGGGTTTCAGACTTATTATCATTGACTGTAGAAGCTCTTTATATGTATAAAAAATTAGCCTATTGGGTTTATGAATTGTAGGACTTCTCACCTGCCTCCCATTCCTTGATTGTCATGTATGTTTTTGGTGGAGTTTTTGTTTGTTTTAGAATGCTATAAATTTTGTTTTAATGTGTTGAATTTATCAGTCTTGTTTTATGCCATTCATAGGAAGACTTTCTCCATTCTAAGATCATAAACACAAACTTCCATGTGTTGTCCCAGTGCTGTTACGGCTTTACTTTTTAAAGTTAATCCTTTAGGGGCCCCTGGGTGGCTCAGGCAGTTAAGCATCTGCCTTCAGCTCAGGTCATGATCCCAGGGTCCTGGGGTCCTTCCTGGGATCGAGCCCCCGATGGAGCCCTGGGTCAAGCTCCCCGCTCAGCAGGAAGTCTGCTTCTCCCTCTCCTTCTCCTCTTTCCCCTCTCCGCTCCTGTGTGCTCTCTCTCAAATAAATAAATACAATCTTTAAAAAATAAAGTTAATAATTTAATTCATCTAGAATATATTGAGGTAAAAGGGGTGAAGGAGGTAATCCTTTGTTTCAGATGGCTATCCAGTTTTCACAAACTGTTTACTGACCTCACATCTTTTCTCCCTTGACTTGAAATGCCACCTTTACTGCACACTTGATTTCCATATGTGTCTTTGACCTGTTTGTAATTTGTTCCTCGGACCTTCTCACCTTCCCATCATACTGCCTTATGTGTCTGTCAATGTCTCCGAGAGCTGGTGCCCCTGAGAGCACCTTTTGTTTGGAGAGCTACCTTGCTATTTTTGCGATATTCTACCATATGAACTTTAAAGTCAACTTGTGTAGTAACCTCAGCAAACTAAAAAATATCTATCTTAGAACTATATTTTTTGAATTGGGAGTTCATTCCATTATACACATACAGCTTAGAGAGAATTGACACTTTTTTGATGTTCTTATTTATAATCATAGAATATCTTTTTAATCGTAATTTTCCCTTTTTATTGTTTAGTAGCATTTCAAAGTTTTCTTCATATAAACTTTTGCCTATTTAAGATTTTCTAGATGTTTTACTTTTGTTATTATAATAAATTAGTTTTCTTATGTTGTATTATTTTGCTAAGGAGTGTGTGTGTGAAGACTATCATCAACATATTCATTTTCTACCCTGTACCTTTTTGAAGTAGTTTTTCTGTTGATATTTTTGGATTTTCTGGGAAAACAATCATATTATTTGTGAACAATGATGATTCTTTTTTTCCCAATTTTGGTTCTTCTTTTCTTTCCTTATCCATGTCATTGGCTAATATCTCCTGAACAATAATAAATAATAATAGTGGTAGTGACGTCTTGTCTTGACTTTATTGGTAATATTTCTACTCATTTGAAATTTAGTAATAAATAAAAAATTCCCACTCATATGCATGTGTGTGTGTGTAATTATGTAAGGAAACAGCCAACTTTCTTCTTTATTGAGAAATTACATTAAGAATGAATATAAATATTCTGAAATAATATTCTGATTTATCATGATGATGTACCACTTGGTAAGTTGCTAGAGATCACTTAATTGTACACTTGAAATAGGTCAATTTTATGATATATTAGATATACTTCAATAAAGTCGTTTTTGAAAAAAGTAAATACAGTATTTTATCCATACCTTTTAAGTATCTATAGAGGTGATCATATGCTATTTTGCTTTTACTCTAGTTATATGGTGACTTGTTTAACTAATACAAAAATCCTTATATTCCTAGAATAAGTCCCACTTACTCATAGTATGTTAATCTTTTTTATATACTGCTCAGTTCTGTTTGCTAATTTTTAAATTTAGGATTTACATAAGTGTTTATGGATAAGGGAGATTCGTAAAGAGTTTCTCTTTTGTATATTTTCTTTGTTAGGTTTTGGTATCAATATTATACCTTACTCTTTAAATAAGTATTTAGAAACTTTCCTTCTTTTACCTTGTGTGGAATAGTTTAAATATTATCGAATTGTACCTTTAGACCTGCTTAGAATTCACCTCTGAAGCCATCTAGGCCTGTCTTTGTTTATTTATGTATTTATTTCTCAGGAGGGTGGTCAGTCAGGAGAATAGCCCTTTGACTTCTATTTCATTATAGTATTGACCTATTTATTTTTTATTTTTATCTGTTTATTTATTTTAAAGATTTTATTTATTTATTTGACAGAGAGAGACACAGCAAGAGAGGGAACACAAGCAGGGTGAATGGGGGAGGGAGAAGCAGGCTTCCTGCGGAGCAGGGAGCCTGATGTGGGGCTGGATGCGCTGGGATCATGACCTGAGCCGAAGGCAAACACTTAACGACTCGGCTACCCAGGCACCCCTATAGTATTGACCTATTTAAATTTTCTATGTTTTTTTTTTTTAGTGGAGTGTGATTCCTTAAGTATATATGACATGATACTTAATAAACATCTTCAGATCATACTGATTGAGTCCCTTCTGATGCAGGGTGAGATGATCAGTAATGTTGAGTCATTGTTTTTGAGAGTGGTAGCTCTTTTCTCATATTTGGTATTTTATGGTATTTAACAGTTATTTCTGCCACTCCTAGGTTTAGACAGTAAGGACTGTTCCATTTTTTATTGTTGAGATGGTGATATTGTAAACCATGATGTGTGTTTACACTGCTCTGTAGACCACCATTATTATGGTCTTTGGTACACTTGAGGGAGAGAGCCCAGTTTTATTGCTGGCCATGTGGCAGACACTGCCTGTCCTTAAGAGAGACACAGTTGATTTATCTTGGTCTTGTACATTGTAGGTTCTCAGTAATTCCAGTGAATGAAATATTTGTTTAGTATCTACTATGTGTGTGTTTGCCGAGGATATAATGTTCCAAGAGACAACATATGTTATGAATGCAAAATTGAATTAAATAAATACTATGGTAAAGATATATATTCAGGCATATTGAAGGATACAGTTTTCATGCTTGCCTAGGGGAGAATGACTTTGAAATAATTTCTAGATAGAATGGAAAGTAAATATTGATTCAGTTACTCTTATATCTGGCCTGTATTTACAAATTAATATAGAGCTAAAACTGTTTTAAGCAGTATTTTTGCTTTTCTGTATGAATTGGATAATATGCCAGGAAAAGGAAATCAACCCTGGAGCAACAGAGCTACAAAAAATGAAAATACTGGGGCACCTGGGTGGCTCAGTCGGTTAAGCGTCTGCCTTCGGCTCAGGTCATGATCCCGGGGTCCTGGGATCAAGCCCCACATCAGGCTCCTGGATCAGCGGGAAGCCTGCTTCTCCCTCTCCCTCTGCCTCTCTCCCTGCTCCTGCTCTCTCTCTCTCTCTCTCTTTCTGTATCTCTGTGTCTTAAATGAATAAATAAAATCTTAAAAAAAATGAAAATACTGATCTAAATTTAAATTATGCTTATTTTAAAACATTTAAGAAAAAAAAGTGTTGATAGTTGACAATTGTACTGGATTATGTTGAAGGTTTATTGACAAAATATTCTTTCCTTTTCTCACAGATTTATCTAAAAACAGACTGGTCGAAGTCCCAATGGAATTGTGCCATTTTGTATCACTGGAAATTCTTAATCTGTATCATAATTGCATCAGAGTCATTCCTGAGGCCATTATTAATCTGCAGATGCTGACTTACTTAAACTTGAGGTAGGTTGACTTATAAGGATTGTAATCAAATTCAGTGAAAAAAACCCCAAATAATTGTGCTTTCATTTCTATCAGGTATTTTTTTCTCTTTGCAAATCCTGATCACCCTTTGAAGTAAATCACACAAAGATTATTTAAGAACAACCTTTCATAATAAATTTGTTGTGACATTAATACTGTTTTTGGTGCTAGACTTCTCTGAATATCAACATGACAAGGTATTTTTGTTTAGTTTTTTTTTACAATAATTTATATGGCATCATTTATACTTTATGTCTCTTTGGTGCCTGGTATATTGTCTTCATGTATTGCTGTAGTTTTTGGAGGAGGAGGAGGGCTAAAGAAAGTGAAAAAAGAACTTGGGGGTTGTGACACATTGGGGCCTTGCCGGTTTGGGGGAGTTTTTGTACCATTGGATTTGCTACTTGGTACTGTCTGAGCCTGTTCCCTTTAGGCCACCTGAGAAAATTCAAGAGCACTGAGCAACTCCAGAAAGATATGAAGTTTGCTGTCTTTGTAACCCCATTCAATTAGATCAGCATTTGCTGAGGACAGGTCAGTGGTCTGTATTGATTCCCTAATTATGCACAGCACGGTGTAACAGATTAATGCCCCTGAGTAGCCCTGAAGTTAAGAAAATCAGCTTTCATATGGCCTAGGTTTTAGACTTTGTGCTGTGACTGTCAGCTGCTCTGGCCAGATTTGGGTTCCTTGTCTCCTAAATCTTTGACTCACACAGGATGTCAGGAGAGAGCTAGGAACTGTTAAATCAAATCTATCTCTACTATGAAAACAAGTTTCCAAAGGTCAAGCCAGAGCAAAGCCTCTACTCAAGTCAATGGCATTATCTTGGTGTGTTAAGAGCAGCACCTGATTAGCAAGGCTTGTGCAGTGTAACAAACATGGCAAACTTTAAAGTGCAAAATTCCCAGTGAACCAGATAGAGCATTAACTTATTATAATAATATCAATTATTTTTTTGTTGGTTTGTTGTTTGGTTCATTTGTTTTTAGTTGACCACTGAGAGTTGGGGTCTTCTCTTGCTTTCTTTGCGGTCAAAAATGGGTTTCCACTGCAATTCATTAGTTGTGCATATCCTTCTTGGGAGTGAAAAAAAATATCCTAGTCATGTTTTTAAGTGACTTGGTGAATAAGATGTAAGTTACTATTAGCATAACCTAGAGGCTTATATAGCTAACTTTCACTTCTCCAGGTTTCTAGTTCATCTGACTATTTTGAGTTTCCTTGAATAAGACAGTCTAAACTATTTCTGCAACAGCACAATGTTCATTACCTTACAATTGCCTGGTGGAGCCAACCTAGTGGCGTCTATAAGGTTTGGTTCACTATTTCCCTGAAACACCTGCCCTCTAATTCAAACCTGCATGGAGGAAATATCCCAAGAGCATATGCAGTTGGTGTGTTTACTTACCCAGGTCTGTCCTTCTGTGACATTTTTCACCTCCAGTAGTCCTACATGCAGCACATAAGGAGATTTAACTTCACACTGTTACACCAAGTCTATACGCAATGAGAAACTTTTGGGTATAGATGACATATCTCTTCTGGGATGATATGAACTATAAAATTATACAAACATGAGATAATCTAATCTTAAAATTTATATTATGTTTTAAAAGCACTAATACAATTGATTTTGGTGTGATGATTTTCATGTTGGGCTTAGTCAAGAGTAGAATAATAATTGCTATTTCAGACGGTAGAAAGGATATATTGAAGTGTGGGTCGCAGGATCCTTTAAGGCAAGAATGGAGAGTCATTGAGACTGATGATGCTGAAGAGGAACTGTGTGGGTATATTGTAAACAGTTTTGTGGCGAATTCCTAGGTGATAGGAAGAAGAAAAAGATAAAGAGACTGTTGAACACCCAACTCTTTAAGTGTTATTTTCTGTTTAATTCCTTGTTTGCCTCTATCTTTTCTTCCCTTTATATAGGTCACTTTTATTTTGTGTTTTCTTTGCTCACATCTTTACTTTAATATTACTGTGCTTTAAGACATATTCTACAGTGTTGAATCCCAACTCTTCAGAGGAATTGATAACTACATGGAGAAAATTAAGAAAAAGTGTATCTCTTACTTTTCAGAGGTGTTATACCAGGGCATATGAAAAATATATGTATATCCTTGGGGCCCCTGGGTAGCTCAGTCGGTTCAGTGTCCAAATCTTGATTTTGGTTCAGGTCATGATCTCAAGGTCATGAGATCGAGCCCCTCAAAGGGCTCCATACTAGGCATGGAGCCTGCTTAAGAGTCTCTCTCTCCCTCTCCCTCTGCCCACCCCCAACAGCTCATTCACACTCTCTCTCCCTAAAAAGAAAGAAAGAAAGAAAGAAAGAAAGAAAGAAAGGAAGGAAGGAAGGAAGGAAGGAAGGAAGGAAGGAAGGAAGGAAGGAAGGAAGGAAGGAAGGAAGGAAGGAAGGAAGGAAGGAAGGAAAGGGAAGGGAAGGGAAGGAGGAAGGGAAGGAGGAAGGGAAGGAGGAAGGGAAGGAGGAAGGGAAGGAGGAAGGGAAGGAGGAAGGGAAGGAGGAAGGAAGGAAGGAAAGAAGGAAGGAAGGAAGGAAGGAAGGAAGGAAGGAAAGAAAGAAAGAAAGAAAGAAAAGAAAGAAAGAAAAAATGTATGTACATGCTCCAAACTCTGAAAGACAGGTACACATACATAATTATTTTTTATTCCTCTTTTAAGTTTATTTCACAAGTATAAGTGTGTAACATAAAATAATAACATAGGGCAAACTTTAAAGTGACCAGGAAAATGGTCACCTTGTTCAATTGTAAAGCCTTTAACTCCTGATTTATAGGTTTGGTGGGAACATGTCTTCTGAGAATCGGACCCCTGGAATTGAGTTATTTCTCTGTTTGATAGTGATTTGAAGTGGAATGCTATATTTGCCTAAAGGATTTATTGTAGCTTGTAAAATAGTAGATGACTATCACATCTGTTTATTTGTAGGTATGTAATAATGTCTGGAAAATACCAGTGGCATCTAATAAAATTGTTAACTCTTCTAAGATGCTGAGTGATATCATCCACATGATAGTGGTGTCTGTGTGAGTTCTTCCTGTCTCAGACTCCTACCCCACTTCCAGCCACCCTCAAGCTGGTGACCAGGGAGGGGGACATGTAGAATATTATGCTTGTGTGTGATCATGATATATGTCCCCTCCTCGATATCCAGGATCGGATGTTATGGCCTTTTCAGGTCTTTTCTGCCTGTCATGAAAATTAAGTCGGCAAAATAAAATATATTTCTTCTTGGGTATGGTGAAGGGGCATGGAGGACTCCGGTTAACTTTAGCCTTTGGAAGAGAGGCTGCCAATCCATTTACTTGAAAAGGAAGCAAGGGACTCTGGATGCTGCGGACATAGAGCCTCATAGAAGAATTACCGAGTTGTCTTCAATGTAGTTTTTCTGTGATAAATTGGGTATTCTGCCAAGGAAAGAAGCTTATGTTCTAGACGGAAGTATATAATCAAATCATGGCATTATCACCAATTTAGATGCATCAGGGAAAATCTGCATAAGTTTCAAAAAAATTACAGAAAAAATAAATTGCTTTTAGGCATACACTTAAGGCAGACTGTATCAACCATAGCATGTTCTGAAACAGCTTTAACAAATAGGCAAGTTCATCAGCTTTTATAAATAAATACCTGGAAATACTTTCTCTTTGTGGTACTTAGGTGTTTTTCCTCTTAGTCTATTAACTACGAATAAAGAGCTGTAAGATAAAGTAACGCAGAGAAGCTGCTTTTCAAATGTTCACAGATTTAATGTTTCTGAACTTAAAATCAGACATGATCTCCCTGTATTTTTAGTTTTTCCTCTTTTTTAATAGATCACATGTGGAAATCACTAGTTTCGTATGTTTCAAAGCAGGAGGGATGCCATATGAAGCTACTTTGAGTTGATGGGAAACATTCAAAATAGAGACACCCTCTGAAATATATTGAGTATTCCAGCGGAGTAAACAGCCATGAGTGTTTGATGGTCATGGTGATAAGGATGACCGTGAAGACGATGGTGGTGGTGGTGGTGATATGCCACTGCCTACACGGGTTCTCGGCTGTCAGGGTCTCTCACAGATGTTATCTTTAAATGTCAAATGGCTGCTTAGTGCCAGAAACCCAATTCCTGTCTTAGACCAGAGATGGGTTTGATTAGCACATGCAAAACAAAACTCTTCGCTGTGAAATACAGTGAAAAACACTTCAGCATTTTCCCACATGATAGAAATGTCAGATTCATGGAAAACATTAATTTATTGCTGTTTATGTAGCCTGTGTTTGAAGGTTCTGGGCTTTTAATCTTTGCTTCTTGGTATTCACAACAAAGGGTTATGTTAGTTTAGTGTAGGTGCCACTGTGTTTCTTCCTGTTATAAAATGTCTTAATCCCAGAAATGTGGCCAAGAACAATAAAAATGATTAAGCAAGACCTATTCCTATATAGGAACAAACACTTTGAACCTGAGTTCCACAGGAAAGCCTTACAAAGTTTAAAATCTATTTTAAGGTGCTGGAGAGGTTGTGTTGATGAGACCCATGAAGAAAATGTACCTTAGGAAAATAGAACAATCCAAAGCAGCAAAACTCTTGGCTGGAACCACAGAGGTCCTATGAATCTAAGAATAGGGACTTCAGCTTTTGAAAGTTATTTCTCAGGTTCAGGAATAGAAGCTGCCAAAAAATGAAAGTTCTTTACAGCATTTGAGCATAGTGCTTCCAGAACTCTTGGTGAGTGGTTTCATTTTCTGAGGGTGAAACATACAAAACGGGAACTGGTTCCTTCCTATGAAGCCCCTGGGGCACCTGGGTGGCTCAGTCGGTTAAGCGTCTGACTCTCGGGTTGGGCTCAGGTCATGATCTCAGGGTCTTGAGATCGAGCTCCGCTTTGGACTCTGCGCTCAGCACGGAGTCTGCTTGTCCCTCTCCTTCTGCTCCTCCCCCTGCACTCTCTCTCTCTCTCTCTAGAATAAA